GAACTAGACCAAAAAATAATAACCCAGAAAAAAAAAATTAAGCAGCTAAATATCTGTTTAACACTTGTATCATATATACAGTTGGTTTGGAAAATGACATCTCTTAAATCATCAGATTATTCCCACATTCAACTGAAGCTCTCTAATCTCTGTAACATTCGTTCTAACATGTAAATTTCATGTAAGGTAAGCAACAGCCTAGAAATATCACACGAGAGTTATAAAAAAGCAGGTGAGGAAAAAACCAAACAGCTGACAAGCCACAGTGTTAAAATCGGTTGAGTGCACTTTGGTTGCTGTTACGCTCCACAGTGTAGAGCTCTACACTCCTGCGGACAGACCTGAGCGAGCTCTAGACCACGACTACTTAGATGCTAAGTCTGGTCCGGACCTAGGCGTGAAGTGAATTTTGCTAGCACTTCACCGGAATCCTGAACGTTTGATGTCTCCCACGGCAGTGAGGCTCCCTGGTTTCCATATCAGCCTTTGTGAAGGTTTGTCGAAGGCCTTGTAAAAGCCCCAGGAGATTCTGAGCAGATCTTAATCACAACAATTGAAGAGGTTTGTAAGGCAGGACTTCTTTTATAAAAGCCCTTTACATGCTGACTTCCCCCAAGTATATTATATTAGTTGCTGGCTCATTTGCTGCCTTCCTGCAGAGGACTAAGGTGGAGGTTACACATCTCTCTTACCAATTCAACTACTTCTTCCATGAGCTGCTTCAGAACTTTTTGGTGAAAACCATCCAGTCCTTGTGACTCATTGTCACTGATTTTATTAGTTTTCTGCCTAAGCTCTTTTATTGTCAATTTGAGATAACTCCTCTGGACAAGTCTATGAGACCTCTTGCCCATTCTCTTGTGTTCCTTTAGGTCTGCCAGCTATCGCTTAGCAGTAGTGGAAAGACACTCTTCTGTGCAATGTAAACATTGCTGTGTTTAAACAAGATCTTAGTTATCAATATTATTAGATATTAATGAGGCTGACATAACTGCAGTCAGTTCCCATTATTCTGAGCAGCCCAAAATCAAGACTTATCATACAATGACACAGAACAAAGAAATCATTTAGGAAAATGTGTCTTCTGTATGAATGCAGACACAGATACTATAGTCTGGCAAACTCCAACTACTTGGATTCACAAGGCTCTGAAGATCAGTAATTATTATTTAAAACCTTTTAAATCCTGTGCTTTCTACTATGAGGACAGCTGCTATGTTGCTTGAAGTAAGTTGTGAATCTGAAGACTGTGAATTTTCAAGACTGGATTTGTAAGGAAAAAAATCCCTGTCAATTCCACACTTTCCTCTGGCCAATTGACACACGTTTTGTTGCTAACAAAGTGTGGGCCCAGGTAGGATAACAAAGAGGTTATCTTCCACTGGGAGACAAATTATCACCAGACTCCCAGGAGGCTTTTCCATTTGCAATAGCAGTGGCACAGAGAGGACACAAGATCTTTTGGTGGCAAACACCATACCAGCATTTTAGGGACTTCCCAAACTGTTAATTTTGGAAACTTTCAAACTTCTGAGCCACTGGATAGGATCAATGATCTATTGTTAGCCCTGCAAGAGGATTAATCCTAAATCAATTAGAACTTCAAGACAGTTGTGCCTGTATATTCTCCTCAAGCCCCCTAGTTTAAAACAAGCAGAGTTTTTGAAAATAAAAAATGGAATACCTAACTAATGAAATACACACCCATATACACATACAGAAAAGACTTCAATGGATTGGTAAGATAGAACAGAAATTACACAGTCTTATAACTAATTCTTCCAAGCCTTTTCTTCTTACATAATAGATCGTTCTTTCAGACTTTCTAACATCACTTGGTAACACTCCTGAGTTGCCACAGACTTTGCACATTCCCCTCTGCTCCCTGGGAAATTGTTTCCTTCACCTGAGCCCTGGGCTGGCTGGTCCCTTCTGCTCACAGCTCTCCAGGAGCTGCAGCTCTCTCCCCTGCACACCCGCAGTTCTGGAGAGGCTTCTCTCTGCGGCTGTTTCCAAGGTACAAGCCCTTGTCCCCAGGATGTTCCTCATGACCCAGTCATTTCTGATGTGAATAAAACCAAAACAAAAAGGGATACTGTCCTTCTTGTTACCTTGTTATTTGGCCTGCACAATGAACCATGGCACCCACTTTCACAATTTAATGATGCAATCTTGTGAAAAGTTTATACCGTTTCTCATTTGTAAGTCTCTTGCCTCGCATTCTTAGGTGCCCTAAAACTTGTCTCACAAAAGTGAATTATCATTCCCAATCACTTTCTTTAGAATATGCATAGCATCTATAGTCTCCTACTGCTTCCAGTCCTAGCTTTTCCCAAGAGGAAAGTCCTTGTCTACTCCTTACTACTTCATATATAAACAATTTGATACTTTTAATTATCCTTGCTGCAGCTTTCTGTGCTCTTACTGCAAAGTGCGTATAAGATTTATAGAACTGCAAATAGTGTTTAAGATGCAGTCATATTGGATTTACAAAGTGAAGTTTTTCTGTTCTGTTTTCTATTTCTTTGCTAAAAATTCTTAGCATTCTGTTTCCCTTCAGTATTACTAAATAGCACTGACCTGACATTTACAGAGAGGACCCCAAGATCTTTCCAGAGTGCTAGGTAAATTAATCCCATTGTCATCCATGTACAGTTAAGATTGCTTTTTCCTAAATGCACTTTACATTCATCAATATTGAATCATGTCAATTATTTTACTGCTCAGTCACTTAGTATTGCAGGAGCCTTTGGGTCCTTTAGACAATTATCTTTAGCTTTCACTACCTTGTATTATTTAGTGTTGGAAACAAGTTGTGTTGTAGCTACTCTCATGCTTAAACTCTAAAGGCATAAACTCCAGACTGTTTATGAGTATTTCAGTAGTACCAGTGCTAGCCTCGCCTCTGGGGGCCTCTGCTGCAGTGATGTTCCAGATACCAGTTCATTTTCCATTCTTCCTCTAGCATGAAAACTTATTACCTGTTCCCAGGCTTTTCCCCTGTTCTTTTACTTTTTAAATTAATCCTGGAGTGCCATTCCCCTTGTCACGTAGCAGATTAGTTACCTCATCAGCCCTTGAGATCCAGTTTTGTCAAGGCTTTTCAGAAATCTCAATTCATTGTACAACCAGGGTCATCTTTTTCCATATGCTTGTGCCAGAACATCTTCAAAGAACTCTCAAGAGTTTATGAGGCATCATTTCCCCTCCAAAAACTCTTAGCACCTCCCATCAGACAGCATTTAACCATGTTCCCTTCCTGCAGGTAGCTGCCACCACCATGAGGACTTACTTGATGGAGAGCCATGGGGGTTGTTGAAAGGCCAGCTTTGTCTTGGTAAGATCTAGTCAAAGATCTAGTTTACCAAGATGTTTTGCTTCAGAAGGAGAGTTCTACAAAATAAGGAAATTAGTGAAAAACAAAATGGAGCCAGCCACTAAGTTGATTAAGGGACTGGAGCATCTGTCATAGCAGGATAAGCTGAGAGTGCTGGAAATGTTTAGTCTGGAGGAGAGTCAATTGAGGTATCAATCTGTATAAATACTTGAAAAGGAGTAGGCAGGGGTGGCGGGGAACTGAGAAGACAGAGCCAGGGTCCCCTCAGTGGTGTCCAGTAACAGGAAAAGAGGCAACAGGCACAAACGGAAATACAGAAAACTCCATTTCAACATAAGAAAAAACTTCTGCACTGTGAGGATGGCTGAAAGCTGGAACAAGTAGCCTAGAGAGGCTGTGGAGTCTCCAATCCTGGAGATACTGAGAAGTCAACAGGACACAGCTCTGAGCGACCTGCTCCAGGTGACTCTGCAGGGAGGTCAAACTGGATGATCTGGAAGTTTAACTATTCTGTAATTCTCTAAAGGTAAAATGATAGCAGACACCATTCAGCCTCTTCTAAGAGCCAGTTCAGGAGCTTGGTAGAAACGTATACTACCTGTCAAAAATGACTCCAGAAAAGCAAAAAATAAGTTTATGTGGTTGAAATCAATTAGTTGGGACATATTGAAGTATGTATGATAGCAAAGAAGCTATCAGAAGTAAAAAAGCCCTCCTACAGAAAGAGGGAGCAATTTCTAACTCAATATAAAAACAAATACAAGCAAATAAAAAAAAAAAAGCAGAGCAAACCCAAGGATTTTAGAAGCAATTAGTTTACAGCATAAAATTAGTAATAATTTTCTTTTAGGTGAAAGAAACCAGCCAGTGGGTAAGACTTCTAGAGGGATAAGAACAGCACTATTGGGAAACAATGCATATTTGAATTATTTATTATTACGGTGTTCATGGTGAAAGTGCTCAAACAATGTTCCTACACTAGAACCTCTTTTCCAGTTTTACTTCTTTACAGAGCTTAACTTGAAGAAAACATCTTGATTTCAAGTGTCAGTAGAAGAGGTTTTGGGACAAAGCAAAAAATGAGTAGAAAACACTAGCAGGACCAGATGACATTCACCTGGCAATTCTAAAGGAAATCCACCTCCTTCACGAAATGTGCAACATATCTACTGAGGTGGACTCAGTATCAGAGAAATAGAAAGCAGCAAACTTTATGAAGAACTTTATTTTAGTAATTACAATGCTTTCTATTGAAATATCCCAATAGGTTAAAATGAGTCTAAAGGAAAATAGCTCTTCCAATGGCAGATGTGGTTTCTTTAAAGAATTTTTAAAACTTTGTTTTTCATAGGTATTTGTATCTGGTTAGCTTTAAAGGTGTAATTTAAAAAATCCTGATATTTCCTTATCATACATATTCTGCACTATGAGACATTAAAGATAAAAGCCTTAAAACACAGAGAAAACCACGGGAGGAATTCATATCCTACTTGAATTTGAATGGTATCAGAACGTGGCAAAGTGATATGAAATCCCCACCTCCTCTGGATTTGATTTTTTGCTGTAGAATTCTGTGAAACTCCTAAACTACTGTGAGAATCTGAAAAAAACATCTGATCATTGCTGGATATTCTAACTTTTTTTTTTTTCTTCCTTTCCCTAGTGATGTCTCCAGAACAGCCATTACTAACCTTCCAGCCAAAGGACTGGAAAGCCTTAAAGAACTAATGGCCAAAAATACATGGACTTTAAAGAAATTACCAGCTGTAAAGATATTTCTTCAGCTAATGCGAGCTGACCTATCATATCCAAGTCACTGCTGTGCTTTCAAGAGCTGGAAAAAAAACAGTGGGTGAGTTTCACTAACTTACATTCAATTTTAAAGTATGTAAGTGAAGACAACGGTTTAGTATTAATATAAAAATACATCTATATTAGTACTTTTACAACCATTTTTTCTAGGTATAGAGGACATTCTCTGAAACAGAGATTACAATTTCAAACTGACAGAAGAAAGAACTTTTGATATAACATTTTGTAGGACCTTTGGCAACAGCTCCTCCTTTTGTTGAGCCCGGAATTAAAGGGAAAAAACCAGAAAAGGGTAATGTGCTATAACAGAGAGTGTGCTGTAGCAAGGACTGGGAAAAGAAATTTTGAAGGGGTTGTAGCCTCATGTCTCGTATGCTTTCTAACTGAAAAGCTCAGAATTAATGATTCTGCAATAACCTTGTAGACAGATTATTTCAAATTACATTTTGGCAGGATTTCCAGCCTCCCATCAAAACAGATGCCAATAGCTTTTGGAAATAAAAAAATACATTGTCCTGATACAACAAAGCGACTCATCTGCTGGGGGGAGGGAGAGGGGATGACCTGCTGTGATTAGCAGCAGAATTTTATTGAAGAATGCAAATCTATTGTAAATTTCTCCAAAGTTTAATAATGTTTACACAATTCTCCAGGCCAACCTCTGATTTAGGAAGACAGCCCCAGTCTTCACTATTGAAGTATTTGTGGTTGGAACGCATAGTATATTAAAAATATGCTATGGCAGGTATATGAATTATTCGATAATAAACTCACAAAGCAGTAACATTCGCAATTACAATGGGCTGGGAAAGCGAGGACAGCAATAAAACAAAGGAATAGAGAGATTCAAAGCCTGGACGGGAAGAACATGCAGAAAGAATCCAGCACAACCTAATGACTGAAAGAAACAAGTATTTGCATGTCTACTAGTAGAGGTGAAAATTTCTCAGACTGAATTGTATGCAGTCTCAAATTGTAACCAATTTCAAATTCTACACACCTGGAAATGAGAAATGCTAAAGGTTATGTGACAGTGGATCACAGTGATCCAAAAATTTGATGCCAAATTGTAGTTTCTTTCCTAGTAAAAAATATGAACAATTTTTGACTACAAATACAGGTGCATCACACCATGAGGTACAGGATTCCAAGAAAGAAGAGGAATTATAGATGCTGAACAAGCCAAATTCCTACTGGGGATAGATGACAGCAACAGAGAAAGAAAAAATGTAGTTTTAAAAAAGGCCCAGAAATGCTCAAGCGTTCTCTATACTTTGTTAACAGCAATATATCTGATCACATTTTTATAGCAACGTTTTCATGCACAGTGATTTGCTTTTGAAGTGTTCCCTTTGTTTACTCACTGTACTCCAGCCAGACTGTAAATGTCAGTGGTGATTTCCCCTTCCCCCTCTACTCTTTCAGAATCTTGGAGTACCTGACATGTAACCAGAGTGGCAGTCACAGCTTTCGTAAGAGATCAGTTAAAGCTCTCAGAGGTCCATTTCACAAAGATTTTGAAGAAGAATACACAGACCACACTGATACTGTGTATGACAAAAACACCAGCTTCACGAATTTTCATGAAAATTCCCATTATTACATTTTTTTGGAAGAGCATGAGGAAGGAAATCTTGGGTTTGGCCAAGAGCTCAAGAACCCTCAAATGGAATATGTCCAGACCTTTGACAGTCATTATGACTACCCTATCTGCGGGGGCAATGAAGAAGTAATATGCACTCCAGAGCCTGATGAGTTTAATCCCTGTGAGGATATAATGGGATATCAATTTCTGAGGATTGTGGTGTGGTTTGTGAACCTGCTGGCCATCCTAGGTAACATTTTCGTACTTTTCATCCTTCTCACCAGCCATTATAAACTGACTGTACCACGCTTTCTGATGTGTAACTTGGCCTTTGCTGATTTTTGCATGGGGTTATACCTCCTCCTGATTGCTTCAGTGGATCTCTACACCAGGTCAGAGTACTATAACCACGCTATAGAGTGGCAGACTGGGCCTGGTTGCAACACAGCTGGCTTTTTCACGGTCTTTGCTAGTGAACTTTCTGTATACACACTGACTGTGATCACCCTGGAACGCTGGTATGCCATCACTTTTGCCATGCGCCCAGATCGAAAGGTTCGCCTCCGGCACGCCTCGGTTATCATGCTGGGAGGGTGGCTCTCGTGCTTTCTTCTTGCCCTTTTGCCACTGGTTGGCGTCAGCAGCTATAGCAAAGTCAGCATCTGCTTGCCCATGGACACTGAAACACCAGTGGCTGAAGCCTATGTTGTCTTCGTTTTAATATGTAACATTATTGCTTTTGTCATCATTTGTGCCTGCTACATAAAAATCTACATAACTGTGCGAAACCCTCAGTACAAGTCAGGGGACAAAGACACCAAAATTGCCAAGCGGATGGCTGTGTTGATTTTCACTGACTTTCTGTGCATGGCTCCCATTTCTTTCCACGCTTTATCTGCCATTATGAACAAACCATTGATAACTGTCACCAATTCCAAGATCTTGCTGGTACTCTTCTACCCACTCAATTCTTGTGCCAACCCCTTTCTTTATGCTATTTTCACCAAAGCTTTCAGAAGAGATGTGTTTATCCTGCTAAGCAAGTTTGGTATATGTGAGCATCAGGCTCAAGTCTACAGAGGTCAGACAATCTCAGCCAAAAACAGCAGCAGCTCTTATGGGCAGAGAATCAGCCGAGGGATAGGTCAGGTTCTTACAAGCACTCAAGACCCAGCCAATGATTACCTTCCTGCCGTGACAATGCAGAACCAAATTCTCATGGAAGAATGCAAGCAAACTGAGCTATAACATCTCTGAGTATCACAGCCACAATCTGGTCAAGAGGTGGTTGTGCATACCATGAATCGAATGAGAAGATAACATATCTCCATATCCTTTCTCCCTAGACTACCCTTTTTGATGTCTGAAAGTACCTTCAGAGTGGTCTTCATTTAGACAAGTCACTCATTTGAACCTCTTGTCTCGCACTCAGTGCAGGTCAAAAGATGTTCTAATGATAATGCTTGAAGTAGATGTGAATACTCTATGTAAACAGGAAAGTTACTACATATAAACTCAGCAAATATGAAATATACCCCCATCTAAAAATTTTAAGGAAGCAGGAGATTAAGTATAAAACTTGTGGGTACTTGTATGACTAAAAAAAAGGACATAAAGTTTTATAATTAAAATGAGATTTAAAAAAAAAAAACACTAAAGACTGAAGTTCTCAAATGCCAACTGCCTATGTGTCAAAAGATTAAATTAGTTTTCTAATAGCAAATTTCTAAAACTTCCTCCAGGGCCTAAAATGGAACAGATTCCTTCTGCTTCTGCCATCCTAACCTAAAAGGAAGGTAGTCTTTTGTTTGCAGTTAATGGTTTAGTTGAGTGAGTGTTGCATGAAAGGGGTGGTAGGGCAATTTGGCAGGAAATAAATCCCCCTGCATTGCAGCTCACCCTCAGATAACTGGGGGAGCTGGGGGCGGCTTGGCTTAGATCCTGAGCGATGCCCAATTGAGCACTATGAGTCCAACAACAGCAGATTCACTCGCTAGTGCGCTGCACTCCCGTACCCACGATTTATGGACTCACACAGCTAAACCTGCATCATTTAGTGGTGTCTCTTTGGGCACAGGGGGTTGGTGTAGCTGGTTACCAACAGGCACGGTTGATGTGACACTACAAGCCCAGACACACTAATGCCAGATCCACTTGATAGTGCCCTGCACCCGCCACCCTGTCACCGTCTCTGGACTCTCATGGCCTCATCAGGTGGCACCCAGTGAGGAATCGTGCAGCAAGTCAATAAGTGAATAAAGCGCTTTAATAGAGCAACAGGAATAATACAGATTCGTGTGGATTGCCGGTGATAATCTACTGTCTGCAGAGGTAAATACAAGCACTAGGGTTACAAATTACTAAAAATCTTAGAAAGCAGTTACCTAGAGATTTCTAAGTCTCCGAGAAAGTTCTCGAGGCAGTATAACTCTTACCCAAAGGCGTCCCTATGGGGGGGAAGAGAGGCTCAGCCCATCAGCTGGTCCCAGAGGTCAGAGGTCTACGATGGTATCTTCCCTAATTTCCCCCTTTCTTTGGGCCATTTTTATATTATTTTTTACCTTCAAGGTGGAGCTTGAGTGACTCCAGTCATACCTTTTCTGTATGTACCATTTACACTCAAAACCACTTCTGTTTCCCTTTTAAGGTACAAGTTACCAAACCCTCGAGCTTATGCTCAGTAAAGGGGAAGGGGGGTGGTCAGTGAGCTGGGGGTTCGTTTTTATGTTATTATAACTTCAAGGTTCGCACAAGAGAGGTATTTGTCTAAGGGGTGCCAGATGGTCGGTCCAGGGTCGCAAACAGCAGCCCCCATGGCGCCAGACTGTGTCATAGCAGGATAAGGGAGCTGATGAATGGGCCTCCACTTTTTCTCATCCCCCATATTTGATAAGCAGATCAGGCTCTGTAGGGAGACAGCCTTGGAGACATTCTTCGCATATCAGCTATATTTTTCCCCTGGAATCTTCTTCGATATTATACCTTTCCTTAGTGTGTGAACATGGCCATTTTCTGATTTTTAAGTTAACTCCAGTAATTATTCCACAGTGAGGTGGGAAAAGAAGCTTCTTCGTATTGCCTTTATAGTGGTAAAAGGCAATTGTCATTGGTCTTGCAGCATTTGTCTTTGTGTGCTACAAAAATTCCTTTACTATCACTCTCTGACTTTTTGATACATCTACTTAGATGGTTTAGTTTGAATTTGTTTTGAAGACCAGTCTACCCAGTCAAGTTAATGATGTTTGTATTTTTCTGATGGCTGAAACTTAAGATTGTACTAAATTTTCTCCCAACTATCCATTCTTTACCTGACTCCAGAACTGTTTAATCTGAGCATGCGTATTACTTTGACCAGCATGTTACTGCTTTCTCACTACTGCTGTACCTACTTACCCCTCTCTTACAGGGCTAGAGTGACTTTCCTTTTAGCACTTTCTATGTTGAGCTGCCTCAAATCTACACTTAGATGGAGTGGATAGTGCCTTCAGGTTACTTCATGCCCTTCTATTACTGAATTGAAGGCTAAGTGCTAGCTCCTCCAAAATGTTTTAAGAACATCTCTCCATCTTGTAGTGAGATCTGTTATCTGACTTGTGTATTGTCTGCAGTACAACTACATAAACCACACAGTTAGCTTCTGGTTGGCCATAGCCTGTCTGTAGCTTAAATACACAGTCTCCACACTGTGCTTAAGGAAATCCAAGCTCGGATACAAGGAACAACCCATGGTCTTTTGCTCCAGTGAAGCACTAAAGCATTCTTCTCCCATACCTGCTGCTAGATGAGTCCAGATCAAGATCAAGCTTGAGTGTGCTCTGTTCATCCATACACCAACAATAAATGAACCAGGGCCTGGCTCTCTACGTGTCCTGCAGACATCAGGACTCAGGGTAGGAGCTGCTCTGCACCAGCTTGCTTGTTAACACTTGTGTGGCCCAAGCACCTGGTTTTGACAGCAGGATCAGACCTGTTCTCAGGCAACTGAAGAGACTAGTTCTGTAAAGACTGCTATCAAGATTGCCATTTATCATTTCACCCATCTATTTGGAAGGCTTACCATGACAACGGAGTATATTGGGTCAATCTTTTCCTTCAGGTAGGTACAGGTTGCCCAAGGAAGTTGTTGATGCCCCCTCCCTGGAAGTGTTCAAGGCCAGGTTGGATGAGGCTTTGAGCAACCTGGTCTAGTGGAAGGTGTCCCTGCTCATGGCAGGGGGGTTGGAACTAGATGATCTTTAAGGTCCCTTCCAACCCAAACCATTCTATGATTCTATGATTTTTAAGTTCATTTTGTAATATCCATACAGTTTTTAATGGAATTATAGTGTCTGAGGAGCTGTAATTAAATTGAACAGACAGTAGTCAGATCTTTATATTATAATGTGGGTTAGTAGTATCCAGGAGAATGTGATAGTAGAGCCCTTCAAACTGCTAGCTACTACGGCTGGAAATTGCATGATCGCACATGCCATGTACACACTTCAATTCAAACTCAAATTGACTGCATATTCCTGATGATAAATGAAGGCTGCTTCAGTAAACAGGGGCCTAGATTCACCAACTCTGTGAGATGGTCTCAAAAAAAATTTATTCTGTCATTGTTAATGTCACCAAAAATCTAAAATATTGCATTATAGATCAATTTAGCTGCCTGTTTTAGGAAAGGGCATGCTTCCATTTTTGGTTGATTCTCAGCAAACTTTGAAACCAAAACTGCTGAAAACCATGCAAACAATAATTTATGACTTCCTCTTCTGTGATCTGGACTCACCCAGTGTTAATCAGAAACATAATGGTTCTCAAGTGTGCAGATCAGCAAAATTTCCTACTCCTGAAATGGCTGTATTTGGAAAGCTCCAGCGCTGTCAGAGAGGCATTATGTTGAGATGCAACCCCCACCCCCAGGTTCAGTCAGCCTTCTGATAGTAGAATAATCATTAAAGGGAGAAAAAGTTGCCTGAATGCCTTTATTTGGTATCTCATCAGCAGCTAAGACAATCACGTTCTAATGGACAAACTGTACATTTCTACTACAGACTTCACAGATACTAGTGTACCAGCGGAAAGAAAATCCAAGCTTGAATCATATTCTTTTTCAGAAAGAGAGAAAAGACAAAACACAACATTTATTTTAAAAGTAACATGATCACTTATTTCAAATCTCTTTTTACATTAAAACAAACCAGAATATTTTTTCCACAGCAACTAGTAGGACACTGGGAAGATGTGGTATGTTGGACTGGTTGCAGTATGCTTTTGAATTAATACAGCTGTTTGCTGTTACTAATGGATGACAGATATATTTACACATTATTGAACTTTTTAATCTCCCATCATTCATATATTTTTTGTCTATTAAAAGAATTCTGTGACATTGCCTTTAGAAACAAAGTTTGATATTTCTGGTTTATGTCTTGTTTATTCTTTCTTGTGTTTAACTTGGTAAAAAAAAAAAAATCTATTGGAAAGATCCAGACTTTAAGTAATTTATTTGCCAGACTTTTTCTTGTAAATGTTTGTATCCTGTAGATATTCTCTTGCATTTCTGCTCTGATCAAATCCCTTCAACCATTTTTTGCTTTGAGTATACCCTTACGTAATACTTGCTATTTTAAATCTGTCTCAGCAAGATGTATTATTTCTGGCATTCAGTACATATTTTCTCTAGAATACTTTAGAAATAATGTAGAACATTGGAATAAAATGGTTTATTTGAAATTGTAAGAGGCTCAGTAAGTTTTTCTGAAGGCTTTTTTTTTCTCCCCCTTTAAAAGAAGATAGTACTATTTCTCTTGCACTTGTTCTCCTTGGCTGGCCTACAGCCAAAAAGACTGACCACATGACACACTGTTTGACAGAGGTTTTGGGCTTTCCCCCACCACTAGACTGGGAAAGGCATGTCCTAAATGGCCATCTCAGTGCAGAAGGAATGGAAAGGGACATTTTGCTGAGTTCTAGGGCTCCAAACCCATCATTAATTACATTCAACATAATCAGAAGTATCACCTAACAGCCATGAGGTTCTCTTCAAAAGACTAAACCTGGAATCTGATCTTTTCCATTCTCTTTTCTAAACTTTATGTGTACATGACAGCCACAGCGCCCAAGGACTGGATACTGCATGAACAAACATGTGTACAGTAAGAAGTTTGTGTGGTGGAGAAACTCTAGTGCAGGAATTCCTCGAATAACTAAATTAATCTGCCCATATGTAACCTTACAGAAGACCCCTCTTCAGAGCAAATATC